AAGTGTCAGATTTTGGCTCAGGTCATGATCTCGCAATTCGTGAGTTCAAACCCTGCGTCCAGCTCTGTGCTGACAGCTCAGAGCCTGGAGCCTGCTACAGATTCTGTGTCTCCCTCTCTCTCTGCCCCTCCCTCCCTCGCACTCTGTCTCTCTCTCTCTCTCAAAAATAAATAAACATTAAAAAAAAAACAAGAAAAAAAAACCAAGGACTTTGTTTCATTCCATCCATATTCCAGGACACAAGGCCTAAGCGCTAGGAGGCTCTCAGTAGCTATTTGTTGAATAAATAAATAAATAAATAATAAATAAACATATTTAAAATATAAATAAAATAAATAAACATACAATAACATATTGTATGTTAATTGGCCCTTTGTGACTATAATTCCACTAGTTTAAGAGGATCTCTTGAGACTCTGCACTCACAATGGCCATGAAAAAAGGAAAAGAATGGAACTGACCTGTATTACTCTAGGCCAAGAGCAAAGTAAATTTTCCCAAATAAGAAGGAAAGTTGTTGGTTCTTATGATCAACATGCTAAAAGCAAGTAAGTTATCTGAACTAGATAAAATGTCATGATAGATTCCATAAAGTGTTTTGCTAAAATTGATAGACTGTCAATTTGTATTTTTTAAATTGACCCGAAAAAATCAATATTATCTAGCAACTGTAATCTTTTGAAACACAGTTCTTTTGTTTGCCTTGTCTTCTAAAACTGTTATAATTTACTCTTAAAAATTGCTTCTATTATTTTTACTGCAAGTTCCTTAGCAGATGGCAATTATAAGAATGATCTCTTATTTTTTAAAAACCATTTTGCTAATCGTCAGGTAATTTCCCTTCTCTGTATTGCTGCATAAAAATAGCAAGTTCATGCTTTTTTTTTTTCTTCGCTACACAATAACTAGTGAATAAAATTCCTAATGCCTGCTTATAAAGATCTTTTAAAATATCTTTTTAAATCTCATTTTAAATGCAATCAGAAGATGCCTATGCTTTTATATATCAACTCTGCATCTATGCCCAAATTAGTACATACTATCTGCTAAAGTTCTTCCATTCAAAAAGAAGTTTTGTTGATGAGTATTTCAAGAGATAAAGGATACCTCTGAAGACAAGTATTTAAAAGTGAGCTTTATAAAAAAAGAAGTAATGATTTTAATTTAATTCATTACATTGTCTGGCAGTAAAATACCATATGGGACAACAATGCATAAAATTACTATTTCCTCAAATACAAATATTTTGTTCAAATCACTCTTTCTTAAAAACAAATTTGAAGTAGAATACAAAGAATAAATAAAATACAAAGAATACAAAATCGAAGTAGAATACAAAGAGAAAGAAACACCAAAAAGAAGAAAAATATGACTATCAATATTTTGAAAACAGATGAGGGTCTTGAAACATGTTTCTATAGAACTGTAAACAATATTAATACATGGGGAGAAAAATGGTGTCACTGGAAAAATTGGTGGTTTCAAGAAGGCCAATGTCTGAAATGACTAAGGTACATAACATTACTGAAGGAAATTATTTTCACTCAGAAAATGAATTTATTATATTCATATACATACATATATATTTGGAACTCACTCTGATATATATTATTAGTGGAAATACAGAGGTGAGTAAGATTAGACCCCCACTGTAAGATTTTCATTTGGGGGGCACCTGGGTGGCTTGGTCAGTTAAGCATCTGACTTCAGCTCAGGTCATGATCTTACAGTTCGTGGGCCCCCATGTCGGGCTCTGTGCTGACAGCTCAGAGCCTGGAGCCTGCGTCAGATTCTGTGTCTCCCTCTCTCTCTGCCCCTCCCCCATGCATGTTCTGTCTCTCTCTGTCTCTCAAAAATAAATAATTTGTTAAAAAATTTTAAAAACAAAAAGCTTTTCATTGGGGAAGCAGAGCAAAGGCTCCAATTAACCTATAGCAGATAACTGTAATAAAGAAGAACACATACAAATTTCCTAAAAAGAAGTACTGGGGAATTAAGAATGAGGAAATTACTCTCAAAAATATTACCATGTAAGGCATTATGGAAAAGGTGACATTTGATAAGTATAACAACAACAACAATAATAATACTAACATTTATAAAATGTTCTTCATTCCATATATTATTGAAAATTACTTTCAATACTTCATTTAATTGTTACAACTTCCTGTGATGATGGCTACTATCAGTGTACCTATTTCATAGAAAAAAATACTGAGATTTAAGAAAAACATTTCCAAGGTCCTATTGGTAGTAATGAATGGAAGAATGGATATTAGAACCTCCTAGGTGCCTTGAAAACCATATGACCCCATGGGGTTTGACCAGAGTATGTTGAATTCAGAGTGTCCACACTATTTACACACACACAGGTACACACACAGACACACACACACTATAGGAATAGTACTTTCATTTCATGGTTATGTCTTCACTGGTACAGTTAAGCAGACTCTAAAGTAATCATCCACAAAATTCAATGGCAAATAATATCTGTAGTAGAGAAGATTTACTTAATTTTCAGATTGGACATGTTAAGTTTTGTTCACCTTTCTGCAGAAGACATCAAATTCACTTTACTGGGGCATTAGTATATTAAACTGAGAAGATCAAATGTTATTTAGGTAAGTGTCAAAGGTTTCAGACCTGATTCCCATTTACAAAATATCTGTATGAGACCTAAAATTTCATTATCCTAAAACTTTATTACCATTTTTGGGAAAAAAAGCATAGAATAGTGGTTAAGAAATAAGACCGGAGCTATGATTCCTGGGCTCAGAATCAACCTCTGCCACTTACCAAAGGAGACTGGACTTCTTCACCTGAAAAACAAAGATAATAATAGCACCCATGTTATATCATAATAAAAAGTCTTAAGTTAAATGAGTTAAAATTAATTAATAAAATTACTTAAGATTTCTAAAACAAAAAAGTGACTGGCACATAGTAAGCACTATATGAAATACTGTTAAGTTAAAACTAAAATATATTCAAGTGGATTTAAGTGGAAAATCTCAATCACACATATGCACATGAAGCACTGCTTTATTGGTCAAGACTGAAGCTACCATTCATGCATTATGGGAGAGGGGAGTGGTGAGGAGAAATGATCACATATTTGGAGTGATCAAATGATCATGTGTTCTAATGCAAGAAATAGAAGTGATTTGATGTACTTTTTGTTCTCTCTACTGAAAAGCATCAATCTGAAAAACAGGAGGACAATGCCAGATAAATCTCTATACATAATTAGTTGTTCCAATAAACCTAATTCTCACTTCATTACAAAAAGACCCTTGGGAAAAGAAGGCATAATGCTATTTTCTACACTTATATTTTTAACTGGACAACCAGAAATAATGGATGATCAATAATGTCTTTATCAAAAATCTGCCCTGTTTAGTCAAATAATTATTGTGTCTTCTACAAGTAACAAAGCCTTAAGCTAAACAGTTCTTTTTAAAAAATGTTTATTTACTTTTGAGAGAAAGAGAGGCGGGGGGGGGGGGTGCGGTGTGGGAGACAAAGGATCCAAAGCAGGGCTCAAATTCACGAACTGGGAGATGATGACCTGAGCTGAAGTGGATGCTTACCCAACTGAGCCACCCGTGTGCTCTAAACAGTTCTTAATAATAATGTGACATAAACTGAATTTTCAGATTCTGAAAGGCCTAGCATCAATATACATGCAGTATTTTCTCTTAATCTTTGATCCTTGCTGGCCAAGCCCATGTCCTGTTCACCATATTGTAGTTAGCATCGACATAGTACTTGGCATATTGTAGGTTGAGTGAATTAATAGTTGAATCCCTAACACAAAGTCTAGAAAGTAAATTGTGTGTAATTTAGGTTTACCAGACAAACTAAAGGGTGTCCAGTGAAATTAGAATTTCAGGTAAACAACAATTTTTAGTATAAGTGTCTTCCAAATATTGCATGAGACATACTTATACTAAAAATCGCTCAATGATTATCTGAAATTATAATCTCACTGGGTGACCTGTAATTTCATTTGCTAAATCTGGTAACTCTAGTCTAGTTATTATAATAAATTAAGATTTATTAATTTATTCAATTAGTCATTCATCAACAAGTATTTATTGCTGTATTAAATTATTAAATGATGTACTACAGGCCCACCCTGTGCCAGGAACAATTCTGTGCCCTGACTCAGCAATAAATAAATAATACTGGCAGACTCTCACTTCATGGAGCGTGTATTTCAGCACAAATGGAGGGAGGGATGATGAAAAATACATAAGTGAAGTATTAAATTGACAAGGTAATTTCAGTTAATGATTGGTGCCATGAAGAAAATCAAGCAAGATGATAAGGGTCAAGAGAGAAGGATGGATCAAGGGCTACCTTAGTAAGAAAGTACAGGAAGTCATCATTAAATGATGAGAAGAGGCCAGTTGTACAAAGAGCCAGAGGAAGAGCAAATGTAAAGGACCCTAAGTAGAAATGAATTGGACTGTTTCAGGAAAAGTGTGAAAACCAATTAGAATGTGGTGGGCAGGGGCTTGGGGAGTTGTATAAACATTGTACAAGAAGAGGTAAGAAACTGAAGCAAGAGCCAGTTCATGCAGAAACTTATATTCCATGATGTGACATTCAGATGGTATTTGAGTAGAATGAAAAGCACCAGAGTGGTTGAAATAGGGAGTGATATGATCAAAAGTATTTTCAAAAGACCTGTTGGTTTGCTGGGGGGAAAATGATAGATGGGGTGTGGAGGGGAAGAGTGAGAGTACAAGACCAGGAGGCAGTCCAAGAGCAAAAGTGAGGGACAACACAGGCTCATAGGCTGGTGACAGAGGTAGGTGAATTGGAGATATGTTTTGAAGGAGGAAGCAAGAACACTCATGAAGGGCTTTGACTCTGAGACCGGAAAAGAGTGGTGAGAGAAGATAGCCATTTGTTTCCACTTAAAGATGCACTGATCCTATGTATGACCCATGCACAATAATAAACTACTCTTCTATATCCTTCTTTCTCAGTTGCCTATATTGGCATCATCGGTGGTTAGCCTGTATTTCCTTGAACTCACAGATGTCTTCAAACCTGTGCACTCTGGATTTAGCTGCTATGATCGGAGTCTTAGCATGCCATATATTGAACCAACCCAAGAAGCAATTCCATTCCTCATGTTGCTTAGCTTGGCTTTTGCCGGACCTGCAATTACGGTAAGAATTGCCCCCAAATTATGTTTGTCAGTCCCCAAAACTAAGAATGGCCACATTTGTGTAATAAATGTGTTAAAAATAAACAAAAGGTGAACTCTAAATCTTGGAACAGAGAGATCATGTCTTTGAGATATTTTGAAAATATCATGGGACTTAATAGTTGAAAATTACTGGCATTCAAAGTTATAGAAGATTATATGATTGCAAAATTGATGGGTCTCTAATGTTTAATTTTATAAATGATTCTAAAAATGTTAATAACTGTATAATTCCTCTTGAATGGCTAATATGATGTTTCTGATATACTTCCTAATTAATGTGTTCTTTTGGTATCTGAAGTCTGGAAAACTGGAGGGGAAAACCAAATAATTATACAGCCAAGAGACTTTCTTCTCAAAATACATGTAGACATCGCTTACAGTTCCATGTTTACTGGGTTAGCACTTTCTATTGATTAGGAGCACTGAGCTCTAGCAATTGTAAAGTAAAAAGGTCACAACTCACACTTCTGGCATACTGGCTCATGCACACATGCACCCACACACATGCATACACAGAGACAAATAAAATACTTTAGATTCAAAACAGGCATTTGCATTTTTAAACATGTAATATAAAATAATGCCCTAACCTACTGGAATTGAATTAAAAACATAGTTATTTTTAGTTTGCTAACTTACACATTGTGAATAAACACACTTTTTCTTTTTTAAAAAACCTTTTTTTTTTTAAGTTTATTTATTTTTGAGAGAGAGAAAGACAGAAAGAGCGTGAGCAGGAGAGGGCAGAGAGAGAGGGAGACACAGAATCCAAAGCAGGATCCAGGCTCTGAGCTATCAACACAGAGTCCGACACAGGGCCTGAACCCATGAGCTGTGAGATCATGACCTGAGCTGAAGTCGGAGGCTTAACCGACTGAGCCACCCAGGTGCCCAACACACTTTTTCTTAATTCATTAATACATAAGACTAGACAGAGAAAGACATATATATGATTTCACCCACATGAGGAATTTAAGGTACAAAACAAATGAACATAAGGGAAGGGAAGCAAAATAACATAAAAACAGGGAGGGAGACAAAACAGAAGAGACTCTTAAATATAGAGAACAGAGGGTTGCTGGAGGGGTTTTGGGAAGGGGGGATAGGTTAAATGGGTAAGGAGCATTAAGGAGGACACTTGTTGAGGTGAGCACTGGGTATTATACATAGGGGATGAATCACTGGAATCTATTCCTGAAATTATTGTTGCACTATATGCTAACTAACTTGGATGTAAATTAAAAAATTAATTAATTTATAAATAAATAAATAAATAAATAAATAAATAAATAAATAAATAAGACTAGGCAAGCTTTTCCAGAAGGCTTCTTCTGGAAGAAGATTCTGCCCCTAGAATCCTACATAAAGAGCAAAAAACAGGTTTCAAGGTTAATAATATTTATTTCTACAAGTAGGAACTTTTAATTTGCCTTTATTATGCCCATGAATATCAGAGGAAGTGGTTTTTGAATGACAAGCTGTATTTGAATGGAGTTTTTATAGGATTCCCTAATGAACTGACCTATTCTGGTTCAGCACATCAGCAATTTTAGAAAAAGAATCTATGCATAAACCTTCCAAAGTCTATGCTTTTATGTAGCCATGAATTTGCTTTAAAAATTTTACCCTATATTAAAAATCATAGCATATGTTTACACTCTAAATAAATTATACAAAATATTCTCAGAAGGTAAGGTAGAATGCGAAATTAATACTCCATAGAACTTTGTCATACTCAAAATACTTTGTAAGTTAATGAATTATTTGAACTCTAGTAACGCCAGGGTAATTGGAACTATTCATGATGTGCTTAGAAATAGCTGAGACTCAAACTAATAAAACATATTTAAAGTGCAGTATTACTCAGAATAATAGCATTTTCCTGTCATTTCTCTAACGACTTATTAAAAAATTCATATCATCAGTCATTTGATAAGAGCAAAATGGATATATGCTTTACACTATTACACCAGGAAGCATTTCTCCTAGTTAGGGTATAATCCCCAAGTTTATTATAATAGAATATTTGAAATTAAATTCTGTACAAATGTTCAGGACTCTGCTGAAAAGATTGTGTTGATATTCAGTCATTGAAATAATTTGTTTTTTATATATCCAGAAGCCTTCCTTCTCCAGGATATTTTATTAAGTTGCTAAGAGAGCAAGTCTAACTGTGGTACTTGCTGCTGGCACCGTTTAGCCCACATTGATCCCTTTGTTGACACTGTTACATGTCCTAAGGACAATGACCTTGGCCTCATCACGGTGTCCCTGCATCTGTGACTCCTTCACTTCCCATAATAAATTCTCTATATGCAATTTAGAGATGCTTTCTGGGGATTCTAAGCCAAAGCTTGCTTTCTTGAGCCCTGAGAAATGACAGGGCAAATCTGTCATGGCTGCCTCCCACCAAAGTTGACCTGGGGAATCCAGTGCCAGTTCCTCCCACAAAGAACCCACTGGATCTGGGGGTCTTCACAGGGCCTCTCTAGTGGCTGCATGCCTCTTAATGGAACAAGAGGCAAACTAGGGCAATATTTATTTTTTTAGGGACCCTGGGGTCCCTAAATACCCCCATATCACTTGGAGTTCCATGATATTCCAGGGTGTCAGTGATTCTTACACATGGTTTCATAGCTTTGTGTAAACACTCAAAGGTAAAACAAATCTTGACTTTGCTGACATCAAATATTGTTTTCACACCTTTCTTTTCAAATATCATGCTTCTTCTAGATTTCTTTCCAAGTTCATTTTCCCTTCTCTATTTTTAGGGCCTTCTCCCAAAACATTCATTTTCTCAACATTGGTCTTATGTCTATAGTCATCTTGTTCTAGACTCATAATTCTGCCTCTAATCTTCCTACATAGTTACAATTGTAACCTCCTTCCCCTCTTTTCCTGAAGGTGAAAAATAACAAGTAGACTCTAACCGCCAACTCCCAAGGATGCTGTTCTCCTTTAACCTCTATGGTAGCATAAACCTGTTGCAAATGCGGTGGTGAGCACAGGAGGGGAGGCAAGAGGAATCTTTCATTTGAAAATGGCTTTTAAAGCCCACTTCTGTGAAGAGAAGCACTTCTTGTTTTCACCCATTCACCTGGAGAGAAGATCAAGAAAAACAAAGACCTCATGTCCTTGATATTCTTCAAAAGAATCTTTATATGAACAAAAGAAGATCGACTGATTTTTTTATACAGGGGCGCCTTGGGTGGCTCAGTCAGTTAAGCGTCTGACTTTTGATTTCAGCTCAGGTCATGATCTCGGGGGTCGTGGGATCAAGACACAAGTAGGGCTGCCCTGATAGCACAGATCCTGCTTGGGATTCTCTTTCTCCCTCTCTCTCTGCCCTCTCCTCCTCTTGCACACGCACATTCTCTCTCTCTTTAAAAAAACAAAAAACAAACAAAAACAAAAAACAAAAAACAAAAAACAAAAAACAAACCCAAAACTCATGTCCACAATATTCTTTTTTTTTAATTTTTTAATCTTTATTTATTTTTGACAGAGAGAGAGAGAGAGAGAGTGCAAGTGGGGGAGTAACAGAAAGAGAGGGAGACACAGAATCCAAAGCAATCTCCAGGCTCTGAGGTGTCAGCACAGAGCACGACACGGGGCTCAAACTCACCAATTGCAAGTTCATGACCTGAGCTGAAGTCGGACCTTCAACCGACTGAGCCACTCCAGGCACCCCCACAATATTCTTTAAAAGAATCTTTATATAAACAAAAGAAGATCGACAGATGTTCTTATATAGGCATTCAACTATAAATCTTTTAGTGTTTGCTTTTCAGATTTTTTAAAATGCTTTGAGAGGTTTTAAAAATAACTTGGCTTTGTGATGTTGAATGAGAAACTGTAAAAGTTCCTTTCATGTCTGTGAAATACATTTTATGTCTCTGAAATTGCCCTTAAATTGGAAAATTTCATCCTTAATATTCACTTTTCGTTTACTTTAAAGTGATAAGGAAACCAGCATTTTGTTCAGTCCTTTGGAGACTGTGTCCCAGGGAAAACAACAGAGAGTACCATAAATCTTCATGAAATCTATATGAAAAGAAAAGGATGTATATTTTCACTTCCCTGGAAGTAAAATTTTATTACATATTCTTAAAGGATAAGTATATCTAACTTTATAGAAGAATTCTATTGGAATTGGATTATGTTCCTAGAGGGTAACCTTAGCTTTGGGAGACTATACAATCAAAAGGTAGAATATTAAATGTATTAGGGTTTCCAAAAGACATTCACTGCAAATTTAAACACTGAAGATACTATGATAAATATTATATTTTTGTCATTGTGCTTTGTTTTTTTCACAAGGAAGACTTCTTTGATTGGAGTGCTTCCTCTGGTGGCTATTCTTAGGGCACTGCCCATATGATTAATAAAAAGCAATATATTTCTCACTATGCCTTTTCTGAAGTAGAGTCACTTCAGAATCTTTTCCAAAAACCTGCCTTGATATTGGACAAGCCAAAAAAATTGTCATTTCTTTTTTGGCTTGTGTACAGGCTAAACAGAATATTGCGAAAAGACGCTTGTCACAAATTGTTTTCTATTTACAAATGACAAAAGCAACAAATAATTTTACTGTCAAAGGCTAAACTCTGAAACCATATTTTAGCACAACAGCATGCCATTCAGAATGAGGAAACAAGTAGGTGCATTTAGAAATAAATCAAGAAGCATCTCCCCTCCCCCTGAGGAGAATTCCATCTTTAAACAGAATTGAACCACTTTGAAAATTCATGCAATGACATACAGCTCAAGGTTAAATGAATAGAAGTATGAGGAGAAAATTGATGTGTTTCTTAGAGAGGACCAGTGGGTGATGTCAAAATAATGACAAGAAACCTCTATCCATAATCAAGCCAAAGAGTATTAAAGTACTCTCTTGACATACAAGTTTTGAGCATATTACACAACTAAAATAAAACCCCTGAAATCTCAAGGTCATTCGAGATAATGACTATTGTGTTGTATGATAAGATACATTTCCCTAATAGCACTATACAAATAAATGTGTATATAATTTAGCTTTCATGGGCAAAATGTGAATCATTACATATAATTGAAAATAGGGGAAAATTATTCACAGAATTATTGTTGAGAAAGTGAAGATGAAATCAGTATTTTTTAACCATACAATAATGCACTTCAGGAATGAGTGGTTAATGTTCTTGAAATGATGAGTTTGAGATACCCATTATCTTATGCTTTGTGTGTGGAATATCATGCCACATCTATCTGTGCAGAATATAGAACTTATTGTGTTTCTGTGTCTAACTTACGGTGATAATGTAGGATGACATTTTTCAAGAAGTATAATTAACTCACTGTTCAATTATTTGAGAAAAAAAAACCCTCCTTTTGATGATTTCTGTAAGATTGATTTTAAAGATGTTTATCATGTATGCCACATGATCTTCACACATGTGTGATTATTGGTAGAGTTCCATTAAGAAAATTATTTTTATACAAATTAAGATTCTTTGTAATTGTACACATACCATAATACCTAAAGAATTAAATATAGCAGATTGAACATTCAAAGCAGAAGGTCATAGGCTTACTGTCATTAGTTTTAAAAAAACTATAGTTTTAAAAACTTCATAAAATAAATGTTACACTAGTAATGAAAACTGAGAAGTTTCCCTTGGGAAATCTGTTTGAGCCCCTAATCATGACCATGACTTTTAAAGTGACACCATCACTTGTATCTAAGAGACTTTTGGTGTCTCATGTAACTCAACTTTCCTCAGCTCCACACATATCTACAAATCAATGTCGCATTTCATAATAATCTCTTAGGCACAATAATCTTAAATATTTGAAAATTTTTTTCATAAATAAAACTCATAATTTCAAGTCTTCTCTTTTTTTTTAATTTATTTAATGCTTTTATTTATTTTTGAGAGACACAGAGACAGAATGCAAGTGGGTTAAGGGCAGAGAGAGACACACACACAGAATCCAAAGCAGGCTCCAGGCTCCAAGCTGTCAGCACAGGGCCCGATGCAGGGCTTGAACTCACGAGCTGTGAGATCATGACCTGAGCTGAAGTCGGATGCTCAACTGACTGAGCCACCCAGGCGCCCCTCAAATCTTACTTCTCTTGTATAGAATAACCAATGACCTGAATGCCCAGGGTAATTAGCCAACAAGAATCCCACAATGAGGGTAACAAATGCAAATCCCACAATGCCAGGCATTGTGCTAGACAATGAGAATTAAAGGTAAATAAGAAATGCCTCATTCCTCAGAGACTTGTAGTCAGGTAAAAGACAAAAAAATGAACTGTTCAAGTGCATTTTAACCAAGCTTTGCTAAGAGGGAAGGATGAGGTGCTGAGGAAGCCACAAAGAAGGGGACCTAATTCAGTTTAGGATGCTGTGGGGTATTTCAAGGAAAGCTTCTTAAAGGAAATGATGCCTAAATGCATTGGGTACCTTCCCTGATGTCCTATGTCTTGGAATCCTACAGCAAGTATACTTTTCTTTATCTTAACCTAATCCTTCTGATACTACAGCATGGCTCACTGTCCATTGTAAACACATTTTGCAATCTTATACCTAGGGAATAACACCTTGCTCACCTAAATTCTCTTGTAATCTGCATTCTCCAATAAAGTAGCTACCAGCCACATCTGGCTATTTTATGTTAAATCTAAATCGATTTAAATTTTAAATACTGAATTAAATACAGGGTAATGAAACTAAAAATTTGGTTCCTCAGTTGTGGTAGCTAAATTTCAAGGCCCAGTAGCCACATGTGGGTAGTGGCTACCCTACTGGACAGGATGGAAAATATTTCCATCATCACAGACATTTTTATTACGCTGCTCGGCTTTAGATAGCACCTTTCTAACCCTGTGCATACTTTCCAGGGATTGAACCTTCTGCTCAATCCCAAATTGGTTTATTGAAATAATATGCCAGTAAAATTTCCTAATCCTAACTTTGGTACTTATTTTGTTCCTCATCATCCCCACCGGTCATCTTGTTTTTGTGCTTTTAGCAATGAAATGCCAAGACTCAAAGGGTTAGGGCAGGATCAGTCATCATGCAATTAATCAATTAGGTATCGTCCCTGGGTGTCATTGAGCAAAAAGGCCAAAGACTGAGTGCTCCAACTGCATGAAAATGCCAGGATGCTACCACAGCCTTGACTGGTACATAGGCACCCAGAAGATCCAACCAGAGCTCTTTACAGTGCCCTGATTGCTTCTTCTCACTGCTCCCTCAACTACTCAGGAGAACTTGCTCACATCTCTAAAGCTTTTAAGAAAACTACATCTTTACCTTGTTGAACTGATGATGTGTTTAGAGATAAGGTAGAATTCCTTTGTACCCACTGAGTCCATTCCGAACACTGCCCTGTCTTTACAGATTATGGTAGGGGAAGGAATTCTCTACTGTTGCCTGTCCAAAAGAAGAAATGGGGTTGGACTGGAGCCCAACATTAATGCTGGAGGCTGCAACTTCAACTCCTTCCTTAGAAGAGCCGTCAGATTTGTTGGTGAGTGTGGGGAACCACAAAGAAAGGAATTTTTTTTCAAATAGAAATGTTATATTTAATTACAGATATTAAGTCTTTAAAGCTATAATTTAGATGTATAATTTCGGGTCCATGATGAGTTTTACATTATATGAAAAAACTGTTAAAACACTAAGATTTGGGCTTTGTATCTGTAATGGGTTATTTACAGTTATAGTGCTTGTTCTGAGAGCTAACATGCCATACATTTCAGTATATTTTTGTCTTAGCTGTGGCTGAAGCATAAATTTACCTTAAAATGGTTTTTCTGGATCTGTGTTCGTTTTTTAAGGTGGAGAATAAATGTCAGCAGGCCATTATGAATAGATAACTCTTCAGAAATTAGTTTAGCCACATCAGTGATTCCATTTCAATTCTCCTGGAGTGTTTTCATCCAGAAGTTACTGCACATGGAAATGTCACCATAGAGAGAGCTGAATCATGGCTATTTATCCTTGGTTATATCCTCTAACTTTGCCTCTTATTTTTTATAAGGCCTATAGAAAATCAACATCTGAATCTAACCAGTATCTAAACCTTCATCTCTTCTGATTAGCATGAGACTATCCTAATGTTTGAGTCACAGGCCTTTTTGTTCTCCAATAGGTCAGTAAAAAATTTACCTGTAACCTCTCAGCTCAAAGGAATAGGTCATTTCATTTAATAGCTAGAAGATAATGAAGTACAACCTTCTTCCCCACTAGAAGAAAAGTCCAGTCTAAGTCATGCCCTAGACTTGCTCCACTAAGCAAGGCACTTGGAGACGGTAAGACAAAAAAAGGCCCTTTAGCAGGGTCACAAACTGAGGCAAGGACAGAAATCTTAAGGACACATAGCTGATCTGAGAAAAATAAATTTTTGTAATGTAACAAAATTCTGTGGACAAGGGGGCATATGACCTCTGTGAAAAGCCTCATGCCTTTGAGGATGGTCCATCCTTCCTTAGAGAACAGTGCCCAGAGTCAGCAACCTCATCCTCCATGGGTCGGGAGATTCTTATTCTCCTAAGGCAGACATGGATGGGCTTCCCCACTGAAGCGAACTCCTCTCTAAGACCTTGCATACTTCTGGGAATTAGAATGCAGAAATTAAGGTTGTGTCATGAACCCTAGTCGAGAGGGTGGAGAAGGAATTGGGAGAGTAGTTGCTAGATGGGGATAAGCAGAAAAGGAAAGTGGAAAACAAGGTAACGTGCAGGCCAGTGACCGTGGTCTGGAGGAGTCTACTGATGAATTGCCCAGCTGCCTCTTGCAATGATTTCTATGAGAAAATCACGAATAAGAATCCAGGATGTCAATTCAGAGTGAATCCAGGGTGTCAAGACCATGTAGAGGAAGCAGGTGAGTGAGCAGAACTAGACTCCCAGGCAAGGGACCTGCATCAGAATTTGTGAGTTTATGGTTTGAGACTGGCCACAGGACACAAAAGAAAGATAGGATTTGGGTGGGGAGATACAAGAACATCATTTCTGAATTCCAAACACGCAGGAAGGCTCCCACAGCCCCGGACCCAAGATATGACTGTTTCTGCGACAGGACCCACCTGCCCTCTTCTCTGTTTTAATTAGCATTCCTGATATGTCTACAGCTTGTAGGGAGTTGGAACCAGTTCTATAGGGTTTAGGAACTACTGGAGAGAGCGAGCCCTGAAAGCTCAAACATGTGAAGCAATTTTAAACCATTTTGAATTCTGCTTCATCCCCTGTATTTAATCCTTCTCAAATCACACAGTTGGCCACCTTAATATGTCCTGGGGGTCTTACAAGACACCAATGGCAATGATATTGAGAATAGGTCCTGCTTAACCTAAATGACAAAAATACCTCAGATGACTAACTTGGAGATCCTAATTGCCCTTATTTTAGCAGCAAGTATCTGGTTTAAAGGTTTAGGAATTTTCTATACTGTTTTCTCCAAATTAACTCAGAGAAAATAATCACAACAGATTTGAAGGTTGCCACACTAATGTGTGATAAACATGGCTGATGATGGCACAATATCAGCATTAGGCGCTAACTTGGTAACAATTTCTTTCCCTCTGCTTGTAGGCGTTCATGTGTTTGGACTGTGCTCTACAGCTCTCATTACAGATATCATACAGCTCTCCACAGGCTATCAGGCGCCATACTTTCTAACCGTGTGCAAGCCAAACTACACCTCCCTGAATGTGTCTTGCAAAGAAAATTCCTACATTGTGGAAGATATTTGCTCAGGATCTGACCTTACAGTGATCAACAGTGGCAGGTTAGAAATTGAGACTTAAAAACTTTCCATGTCAGTGTTTTCATTGTTCATTAATAGTGTGGGGTATCATTTTAGGCCCACATTTTTCAGTCATAATGACTTTGGTTTTATTTATTTTTTTCAATTCAGTGATTTCTTTAGTGGTTATACCATAGAAAACCCATTGGTGGCTCTTTCCAAATCCTCCGTCTGTCTCCAAATTTCAGCCTCACATTGCTGCCACTAATATTCATATCACCAAATTCTACTCACATTTTGTGATCTACCCTTTACTCATTATGGCTTTAGGTTATCACAGTTGGTTTATTTGAGGATATTATAGTTAGTCATGATTTACAGTTAATACGTGTCCTGTATTGACTTATGTGGTAGGCTAAATATCTATATTTACATCTCCCTTATATGTTCTAGTTTTTAAAAACTATGTGAATTTTCTGTTTGGTAGAGTTTTATACATACATCTTCTTTGAATAAACCCAAAAGATCACTGTAGCTCCTAACCTTGCATTTTAGAAAATAAAAGACAGGAAACCTCAAGAAAATACCAATGCATTAAGGTTTTTTTTTTTCAGTGAATAAAGTAAAAATTAAGCTTTTTGGCAAGAGATAATGTTTCGGAAGTTCAAAAGAAATAAATTGCAGAAGGACAATGGGCAATGAACGATTTTGCTCTAAGAATTTCATGTCATTTAGTGAGTTCCTAAGATCAATTTAAGAGTCAAAAATAAGCTAGTAAGTACTCTTGAAGAACACAGCCTGATATTATGTAATTATATACATTCAAGTTCTCATGGCCCATTCAATAATTTTGAAGCTGCTTTTAAGACCTGTGTCTTCTTCTATTCTTTCTCAATCCTTTTTTACATATCTTGTCTGTATTAAATGGTAATCCTTTTTATTGGGTACCAAATAATTAGGAGGATTTTAATATAACTGAATTTTATCTTTAATTTTTTTTATCCATTAAAATAAATCTCTATTTTTTTCTTCACCTGTCCTTTTCAGTGTCTCTCATATCCTGTGTTCCTCCTCTCTCACCTTGCTTCTTTAACTAGATTCTCAGCAATTCTTGAGATGATAATTATTTTAAAGGCAAAATGCAGGGAAACGTTTTGTTAAGATTGGACTTCTTGTGTTTTCTAGAGTATAAAAAAATACACTTAGATTCACTGCTGTGAGAAAATAATTTTACCTTTTAAAGTTTTATGTAAATTAAACCATATATTTAGGAGCATAGAAAAAGTTTAAAAGCTTTAAAGTCCTAGGTTTTATGGACCTTTACTTTAAACTGACATAATTCTAATACCAAAGAACAAATATAATGTTTTCCAATCCATTTCAACTCTCGACCATCATTTCAGTGGTGTAACAAAGTGATCATCTCCAAAGCTGGCACTTGATATTGAAAAGTGTATTACTACTATTCTTTCATTCTAATGGTGATTAGCAGTGTTTATCACTCAGATCTTTCTCCAGAAAACTAAACAGAATTTAAAGTTATCACTTATTGCCTTGAGGCTTTTAAGTTGAATGTTTTAACCACCCAGTGTTCTCAAGATGATTGTTAGCAATGGATCTGAGATAGAAGACATAATTTGACTGTCTTCCTTTGGCAGAAAATCATTCCCTTCTCAACATGCGACCCTCGCTGCCTTTGCTGCTGTGTACGTTTCGGTAAGTCACTGGCTCTTTTTCATCAATCTGTGTCCTAGAGAAAATTAGAGAAATGAGTGCGGTGTCCAAGTGACTAATTAGATTATATAGCCATGTAATAAAAGAACAGTAAACTTTAGTACAGCAGTCCTGCAACACAATTGCATCGAGAGCAGAAACTGGGTGATACTGGAAACAATATTACAGTAAAAGAACTTTTCTACACAGTCATAATATTTATTCATCCCAGTATTCCTTCAATGTAATATTGTACCTCATGGCAGGGTACCGTGAGCTACATGAATGTTATAAATCTGAAACTGAAAGAACTGTGTTAAGCACAACACACACACACACACACACACACACACACACACGCTTTACTTTCAGCATTTATGTAACAGTTCAAAGTCAGTGTAAATTTGATAAATGATATGCAATGAATCATCATCATATCTGATTAATACAATAATCCATCAGGTCTTATGTGAGAAAAGTAGACTGAAATTATGTGACAAGTAACGTGGAAACTAAACAATTATCTGGCTAATTTTATGGCTTCAATTTATTTTTCAAAGTTTCATGTAAGTCTGTTTTTTACTAGATGAATTTGCTATGTATTTCCTTTTTTTCAGGTATAGAACGTAACCATTACAGGGCAAATGGAACAGTAAAATTGATGTTAAGTGTACCAGTTAGGCTTTGAGTTTAAGTTTTTATTTGATTACAATTTAATAGTAAAATGACCTTTCTAACATACTTAACACATCTCTTTCATTTTTTAAGATGTACTTCAATTCCACATTAACGGATTCCTCTAAGCTTCTGAAACCTCTCTTGGTCTTCACGTTTATCATCTGTGGGATCATCTGTGGGCTAACACGGATAACTCAGTATAAGAACCACCCAGTTGATGTCTATTGTGGCTTTTTAATAGGAGGAGGAATTGCTCTGTACTTGGTAAATAATTTATTATTCTTACTTGATTAACCGCAGTTTAAATGGAAAACTTGCACTGAACATTTTGTACTGTAATAATTTACTTGCAATATAGTTTATATTCGTGAGAAAATGTTTGGGTGCCTCTCCATTCTAAGCCAAAACACACATCCTACTTTCAGCAAAATCATTTTTTTAACTTTTCCCATGGACTAGAAACTCCACTTTTAGGATTATTGCATTTTATCCTCATCCACACACACCCCGAAAAGAATCAAGGATTACTTTTGCTAGTATAATTTTATAGATGAGGAAAGTAAATATTAGTGAAAGTAAGGTTCATGACAGTGAAGGTTTAGTAGAAGTTTATATAATTTGCCCAACAACACAAATGTAGCATCTGGATATATAGGCACCAACTAATACTGGATTTTTTAGCAGTATTCTATTTTCAAGCCTAATCTTCTTTCAAAGGAAATATTCTCAGCATAAGGAAGCTGAGATTATCCATTTCATGCATTAATTCTTTCACTCATTCATTTTACATTTATTCAGTATATGATCTGTGCTAGGTACTATACTGAGCATCAGAACAGTGAGAATATATAGTCTTAAGAAGTCTTCAGTGTAAAGACTAATAAAAATACAGATGGTTACAATATGTTAAATGATATAATAGGGTGTGAACAAAATGCTTTGGAATAGCAGACTGAAGAAGGAAGTTAGGGAAGCCTTCAGAGACATGATGTGGTTTTTAAGAAATAAGAAATTTTTTTCTTAGGGTAAGAAAAGGAGGAAGGACTTTCAAGCAGAAGAAACTACACAGGCAAAAAGATGGACGCATGAAAAAGCAAGTATAAATGGAAGGTGAGGGAACAGGAAGTATGAGAGATAATGGCCAGTTTCCAGCTTGGAAGACTGGGCAGATGGTGACTTCTGGTCTAGCAGACCAGGTAAACAATGGAGGGAGCAGGTTGGTCAAAGCAGCTCAATTTAAGGATCCACAGGCAGTTGAAGAGTTGGGTCTGGAGCTCAAAAGAGCAATTGATAGTGGAGAAATAGACTTGGAAGTCATGGATATTATTGGAGGAAGCACCATTATAGTTATAGGGGTATTTAAAATTGTTAGGTAATAAGAATAAAAGCCAAGAGACACCAACATGCAAGCAGCACAGAGAGGAAGAGGCAATAACCAAGGAAACTGAGAGAGGCTGGTAAAGAAATGAAAATCATCTATAGCAGCAGTTCAATCATGTGATCTTGGTGCACTGTGGAAGGTGTTACAAGAAAATGATTACAAAAAAATAGTAAAAGTGCTGAGGCAAGCAGTGATTAATTTTCATTTTTATAAACTAGCATGGTCAGGATTGTTACTTCAAATCTCATGCTTACTCACATGCTTTCTTCTGTGGCAGAGAATATGATCCAGGTAAAGATAGTATTCCAGGAATTGGGCATAAGCTTGGGTTTCTCATGCGAATGTTGATTGGTGATGTGTGTTACAGAATAAGAAGACTGAGAACTGCATCCCCGTAGTTCAAGAATTGCCTTCACACATGTGTGATTTCATGGTGTCCTGGAATTAGCATGGGCTCCATAGTCTGAAGAATTTGGGCTTGAATCTCCAACATCCTTGACATTTGGCCAAGTTACATAGTCTCTAAGAAGCTTGTTTCTTCACCTATGAAATGAGAATAATAGCTACTTACTTCATGGTATAACAAGGATGAAGCAACTATATTTATTAAGCACAATGCTAGGCACTGAATGTTGAACAATATGGGCAGAGGTTATTTGCAGTCTAGTGGATGATTTTCCTAAACTGACAACAGTTATTACAATTATTAATACAACATTAGGTAGGCCTGCTCATCCTGGGAAATCTGGCAGCGAGAGCATAGATAGATATTATTTAGAAGAAAATTTCAACCGGGAATTAAAGTGGTTGGATAGGCAGAAGCTTGACTTTATTTAATTTCTGTTTGCATTCTATGCCCTGAGGTTGCATATTCATCAATTCTAAGCCAATGCTGTTTTAAATTGTTAAGCATTCTATAAAATGTTGATTCCATGGGATTCTTTTGGCTTGATTTGAAATGGTAGACAGTGGCTACCATTCATGGAAATTAATACCCAAATAGGTATCTGTTCCTTGCTCATATCTCCAAACTAAGCATCTTAGAAATTGAAAATCCATCAGGGATTTGGTCTTCTACATGTAAAAAGTAAAAATTCTGAATCTGAATTTTTACTTTATCCAAATTTGTATCCCCTAAATCTAAAATAACAAAAAATTGGTAGGTTAAGTATGAAAGCAAGATTAAATAAAATTTAGCTCAAATTTAGTGTCCTAGCACTAAATTGACCAAATATACACTTCCAAACTTGAGACCAAGTTAAAAAAAAGAATGTGGGTGCCCCAAACTAGTGACAATTTCTGCCCTGTCTTCTGAGAATTCTGCACAATACTGAACACACAGGGCTGTGCTCGATCTGAGTCATAACAACATTTGTATCTGACCTCACTGCAAAACCTGATGACATGTTTTATGAATGATTTGGTGTTTCATATTTTTCACACCTCTCCTGCTTTCCATCATAAGGTGTGATTAAAAAGGAAGGTAAAATAGATCAGTTAAGCTATCCAAGGTGTCGCTCAACAAGAGGTTCCTAAATCCAGAAAAATGAAATGCTTTGAAAAGCAGAAGAATGTCTTATTTCTCTCATTGTCTGTCTTTTTGTTTTCTCTCAAAACATACAGAGGATAGATAAGATTCACAAAAACATCCAGTGGGATGGAGAAAGGAGAGGAAATCCAACTAATAAAAAATAACGGGCTCCTTATTTCTGAACAGTTAGTTCAGCGATTTATGATATAACTTACAAACTACTTCCTGAGTAATTGTACTTTTGGTTTTTTGTTATTTGTATTAGTCAGTGGTGTATAGACAGCATATACCTTATTTATATGCATCAGTGGGTCCTCTAAGACAAACTCTTAGTAACCATGTCTTCTAGTGCATGATGTTCTTGTTTCTTTCCAATACCAGGGCCTGTATGCTGTGGGAAATTTTCTGCCTAGTGAAGAGAGTATGTTTCAGCACAGAGAAGCCCTCAGGTCTCTGACAGACCTCAACCAAGACCCCAGCAGAGTATTATCTGCTAAAAATGGCAGCAGCAGTGATGGAATTGCTCACACAGAAGGCATCCTCAACCGAAATCACAGAGATGCCAGCTCACTGACAAACCTCAAAAGGGCAAACGCTGATGTAGAAATCATCACTCCACGGAGTCCCATGGGGAAGGAGAACATGGTTACCTTTAGCAATACCCTACCTAGAGCCAACACCCCATCCGTAGAAGACCCTGTCAGACGAAATGCCACCATTCATGCCTCTATGGATTCTGCTCGATCAAAGCAGCTTCTCACCCAGTGGAAGAATAAGAATGAAAGCCGTAAGTTGTCCCTGCAAGTTATAGAGACTGAGCCTGGACAGTCACCACCCAGATCCATAGAAATGAGGTCAAGCTCAGAGCCCTCCAGAGTAGGGGTGAATGGAGACCACCATCCTCCCAGCAATCAGTACCTCAAGATCCAGCCTGGCACTGTCCCCGGATGTAACAATAGCATGCCTGGAGGACCAAGAGTGTCCATCCAGTCCCGCCCTGGGTCCTCGCAGTTAGTGCACATCCCCGAGGAGACGCAGGAAAACATAAGCACCTCTCCCAAAAGCAGCTCTGCTCGGGCCAAGTGGTTGAAAGCTGCAGAGAAGACCGTGGCCTGTAATAGAAGCAACAGCCAGCCCCGAATAATGCAAGTAATAGCAATGTCCAAGCAGCAGGGTGTCCTGCAAAGCAGCCCCAAGAACACCGAAGGCAGCACTGTCTCCTGCACTGGCTCCATCCGCTACAAAACCTTGACAGACCACGAACCCAGTGGGATCGTAAGAGTTGAGGCTCACCCGGAGAACAACAGGCCCATCATACAGATCCCATCTACCGAAGGCGAAGGTAGCGGCTCCTGGAAATGGAAAGCCCCTGAAAAGGGCAGCCTTCGCCAAACTTACGAGCTCAACGATCTCAACAGGGACTCAGAAAGCTGTGAGTCCCTGAAAGACAGTTTTGGCTCTGGAGATCGCAAGAGAAGCAACATAGATAACAATGAGCATCACCACCATGGAATCACCACTATCCGTGTCACCCCAGTAGAGGGCAGCGAAATTGGTTCAGAGACGCTGTCTGTTTCTTCTTCCCGCGACTCTACCCTGCGGAGAAAGGGCAACATCATCTTAATCCCTGAAAGAAGTAACAGCCCGGAAAACACTAGAAATATCTTCTACAAGGGAACCTCCCCAACACGGGCTTATAAGGATTGAGTGATGGGATTCAATCCCTTGAGCGAACCCCCCAGAAGACCATGTCTTGATTCTCCCTCTGTGCTCTGTTTTCAGTGGATTGGGAAGCCTTCTCATCAAACTGGGTCATCTTACCATCAGCCCGGAGCTCAATGACTCTTGAGAACTACTACATGCAAAGCTTGTAGATTTCACATCAAGGGGAGGGAAAAGCACAATGCAAGAACCTAATTAATATGATAAGGTGAAGAATCTTAAGACCTATCTTCAAACTCAAAAGGTTTGCAGAAGGCAGTATCAGAAGAAAGTGGTTTCCTTCAGTGTATACTATTTTACTTCCTGAATGTGCCAACTTTAGGGATTTTTCTTTATAATTAGCTGTGGGAATCCAGAACACGGTTCCCTACAGCAGAGGCCATGCAGTATTATATATTCATTTTGCAGAATCTGCGCCTACAGCCCAGTAAGGGTGGTGCTGATTATTATAGTACACATACCATGTAAACTCTCAAATTCTATTTAGCTGTGAAATAGTGGCGTGCAATTCCTTGTCAAAGAAATGCTACTGTATTAAGAAGATGCTGGCTGCTTTGTGTTAGAATAGGACACCCCGCAGCTTCTCTGTAGTGGCTCTGTCACAGTCAAAAAATGAAAAAGTTTTGTGCATTTCCTCAAAATTATGCTTTCTTCAACAACAAAAAATGTGTAGGAATATTTTCAGTGAAAGGGAATAACTAGTACTTTTCTACATAGTTTTTTTTTCTTGCTGCTTACTTTTTATTTAAGTGTAGGTACTACTAATGATTCTGTTTTTTAGTGAGTAAATTTGCATAACTTAAAAAATACATTGTTTTAGAGTTTTTCAAAATTGTTGTGATCATATTTTGCATTTTATGGCTCCTCCCTTATTTATTAATTATTTTTTTGATGTCATAGATATGTTTTTCTATTTTTAAAGCAAGAATAACAGTTGACATTCCTTGAGCAAAATATACTGCTGTGAATTTATAAACAAGAAATCTGAACCAACACTTGACATTGTGGGTTACATTGCCAGCAATGTTGGTTGAGTCTACCCTTAGACATCTCCAACCAGCTGGCTTAGGTTGCTATCTTAATCAGTAATCCAAAAACTCTGTTTTGTTCCAGATTAGTAATTTTTTGTATTCTAATAACCAGTAAATCAGAGCAACAGTAGTTAGGTTTTACCTTCTTCCCTAAGATATTTTTGTCAATTGGACATCAACAGGAAGAATCTGGGGAAAAAAATGCAAATTGATAAGTGAAAGTATCTCACAATATAAATTAAGAATGTATTTCTTCAAAATATCTAAATAGACACAGTTTTTGTGCTTAATATGCAAACAACAATTTTGCTACCTATCCTGAATAAAGCCTTCAGCCTAAATCAAAGGAAACAAATATTATCAATAAGAAGATAAAACCAAAACATTTGGAGGTGTTTTCCAACTTAAAAATTTAACTGTGGAGAAATATTTGGTTCTTGGAATTTAGTATCAAACCTTTTTTACACCATTTCTTAAGAATTCTAATATACACTTGATGATTGCCAAGGGATAAAAGGTAACAACAAAGCTGGTTGATCTGATCTGTTTTCAGTGAGAACAGAAGGAAGGGGTTGTTAAGAGATAAAGACTATCACATCATTATCAACTTCTACAGGAAAAGGGCAAAGCTTTCTAGAGTTAACCAACCTCCTAAGAGCATTAGGGATTTAGCTGAAACCAGCAGAATTGAAAACTCTGGCAATAAAATATGATTCAACTATATCCCTTCTGGCAATTTCCTTCTCAGAGAGGGGAGTGGGAGTAAAATGTTGCCTTCCCCACTTCTCACCACCGCCACCATCATGGCACTCCTACTGGCTTTTGCCATTTCATAGAGAGGAAGGTGGACTGGTTTTAGTACTCTGAAGAAAAAATAATAAAGCTGCAGCATTTCAGGTGCAGTATGATATTTCCTAATCTTTCCTATTTCTTAACAAAAGATTTTAAAGTACTTCTCTAGTCATTGAAGGTTTTTTTTTCTTTACATAAATATTGATATATTCTTTTTCTACTCAAAGTGCCAAAGGCTACAGTTTTTAATGACTGAACAAATTGTACCACATTGTTAAGGAAATATAATGATAGTCGCTAGAACTCAGACCTCTGCATGTATATTTGATAATACATCTTTTGTAAAAAAAAATTACAAAAATATTTGTTTACATTCCACTGGTACCTTAATTTAAAATAAATGAGACTAACAGGTGGTATCTCTTCTTAGTGTTCTATTTATCTGATTTGCTAATGAGAGCACTTCTTCCTTTGTTAGGCTGTGCTTTACTGATAAAACCAAGTATTGAATAAAGAGAGTAATTATCTTTTTAAAGTAAATAAAATTATGAAAATATATATAATATATATAAAGTATTGTGTTTAATAAAATGTTATGCAATGTTTTCCAAACTGATAAAGTTTGTAAAGTGCTATAATGTATTTTGTTAAGTACAGATTAAAGCTATTGTGTGAGTATATTGTGCTAACATCATAGAAATAAAGATTAGATTTCTTCATCAAAATTGGAACATTTTGATTTTTTACTTCAGAGTATGAATGGATAATAACTTGGCTTATAGGAAAACATCTGAAGAAATAAGAATGAATCAGAACTGATTATATTCATAACTGTTTAGAAGAAAGAGAGTTGACTAACAAAAGTTGGTCAAACTATGCCATAATTTTCCCTCATCATTTGGAATTTTTATTTTATGCTTATTAAAGGAGCTCTTTTAGATTTACTTAGGCATAGATATTTTACATATCAATGTTATAAAGCATGAAAACAAAAATACGTCAGGGCCAATTGCTCGGAATCAATTTTTGACTAAGAGTAGTTGATGTGCCTCTTTTCTTCCATATTATTACCTCCCGTGCCAGATTTTCTCTAGAAGAATGCTCTACTATTAATTCCAGGATTGTTTTTCCAAGCTATTAGCATCTGTTTTATGAGTTTTACTGCTGATACTTTATATGTTTCACTAGAAGGTATTAACAAAAGTTTTTAGGCCACAATAGGACTCATGCTTTAGTCAAATGATCTTGAAGTGGCCCACTTACTGAAGTGAAGTTACAGTTGTTCAGTAATGCCTACAAGTTCATGCATAAACAAGCAACTACATCATGATTTCCACCTGGCAAACAACCATGGTAAGACACTATTCATTATAGAAAACACACTGATTTTAGAGATGATCATATGAATTACAATGTGCATCTTATAATAGTTGAAATGCAATGTTAATATTCTCTAGGTCTTGATTTTTTACCTCTAATATGGGGATGTTCAGCTCTATTATCCCTTCTAAAAGATATCCTAAAGTCTTTTCTAAATTTCTATGGATTATTATTAAGTATTTTATCTAGAGCAAAAACTAATGACAAAAGAATAGGAAATAACTTGCTGGTTTAACATGACTAACTAATGAGAATTGTCATCTTTAATCATAAAGCTAAAATAAGCAATACAATGGGGTTGCTAAGAGTCTACATCAACATTTCATAATATGTTAACAATATATAATATGTCAAAATAGGTGATTTGTACCCCTGATCCTAGTACCTTTCTCATCAGGTATCAGGTGAGTGCATTCTGGATTATATACATAAGAAGCTATCAATAGGGGGTATATCATTTCTGTCTTTTACAGATACTTACTTGATATCTATGGGTCATTCCATGTTACAGTTCAAAGGAAATATAAAAAATACATGCATGGTTCAGATAGTAATTTAATTATAAGGAAATGAAAAGGAATTAAAATGGTTTACTCTAAAAGGAAAATATAACCTGGAAAATGGATAATAGTCTATTTCTGACTGTACATTTCATTTCCTCTGTTTATTAAATGTGTCTCCTGACTTTAATCTGTAAAAAGCTTCTAAAATGTTCTCAGATCAAATGCTCCAGTTGGAAGAAAATATAGTTTTCAGTAACAGTATGATATTTCAGATAAGATCCAGTTACAGGAAATCCCCAGTGACCATGCTTTCTAATTGCAAAAGAATATCTAAATAAGTCCCTTGATCTAGAAATGACTTTTATTTCACTGTCCATACAGTTGTTAGTCAATGAAAGCTCTTAATTGTGTGTGATTGTGTGCTGTAGTCCATGATAATGAGGGAGAACTGAGTAAAATTCCATTTAACGAATTTGTTGAATGCCCATTTTATCTCCTTTACTCCCCCTACCTTAAGATTCTCAGCCATTGACTTTGAGAAAACCCTATCTAAACTTTAATGTTAGCTTTACAAAATAGTACAATTGACAAATGGGAAATGAATTTGAAAAAGACAAAGTATGAGAATTGTATTCCCATAAAATCTCCTTTTTCCCTTAATCACTTCAGGACATTTTGCACCCAGGTACTGCCTTTTAGGAAGAAAGCTAGATATTTATTTTCTGTACTAGGAACTCTCTCTCCCCCCTTCCCTCCATGTTGTGGTTTATACCTTCTAGCTTGAGGTGCCCCTCTGAGAAAAGATGCTCCATCTTTGAGTAGTAGGAAAATCTAATTCACTCCACTCTCAGCTCAATCTTTCCCAATCTGCATCTAAAGTTAATAATGGCAGATATTTCCACAGATACTTCTGGAAGTATAAAAAGTCTTTTAAAAAATTAACTCAAAATGGGTCAAAGACTTAAGTGTAAATGTAAAACTGTAAAACTTTTAGCAAAAAATATAGGAGAAAATCTTCAGGACCTAGGACTAGGACCAGGCTACCAGTCCTTGGTTAGGTATGTGGCTTGCAAATATCTCTTTCAGCCTATAGTTTATCTTTTCATCCTCTTAATAGGATCTTTCAAGGACCAAATGTTTCACATTTTAATGAGGTCCAATGTATCCTCTCCCTTTATGGGCCATGTTTTTAGAGTCAAATCTAGGATATATAATAAATCCTCAGAACTCAACAAATAATAATAAACACAGTAAAAATTAAACAACAGTAAAATAACAACAGTAAATATTAAAGACCAAAAGAGTAAAACCATAAGATAAAAAAAAATGAACAAAGGTACAAAGAGAGGGGCTCCTGAGTGGCTGTCGGTTAAGCGTCAAACTCTTGATTTAGGCTCAGGTCATGATCTCACAGTTCGTGAATTTGAGCCCCATGTGAGGCTTTGTGCTTACAGCATGCAGCCTGCTTAGGATTCTCTCTCTCCCTCTCTCTTTGCCCCTCCACCACTCTCTCATTCTCTCTCAAAGATAAATAAATAAACTTTAACAAAAAAGATATGAAGAGACATTTTACCACAGTGGATATAGAGATAACAAATAAGTAATGAATAGGTGATCAACATCATTAGTCATTTAGGAAATAGAAATTAAAACTGCAATGAGATATTACTATACACATATAAGAATGACTAAAATAAAAAATGGTAAGAATACCAAATGCTGGCGAGAATGTGGAAGAATTGGATCACTTATCCATTGGTAGTGCAAATGTAAAATGGTATAACCACTCTGGAAACAATTTGTCAATTTCTTTTAAAAAAAAAACAAAACTTTTTTTGTATACATTTATACGACCCAGGAACTACACTCTTGGGCATTTTCCCACAGAAATGAAAACTTATGTCCACATGCACACACAAAATGGTACCTACATATTCATCTTCATTTTATTACTAATAGCCCAAAACTGGAAACAATTCTGATGTTTTACCATGGGTAAATGGTTAAACAAATCATGGACTACTACTCAGCAACAAAACTAAAGGAACTACTGACAGCACACTACTTGAATAAATCTCCAGGGAATTATGCTGAGTGAAAAAGCCACTACCAAAAGCTTGCACACTGTACCATTCCACCTCACAAGACAATACAGAGTTGAGTAGCCCATATATGGAGACATGGTTTTGCCATCTGTAACACACAACTTCCATAGTGTCTCAATTTGCCATAATTCCCAGCAGGGGTGGGGTGGGATGGAGGAATTAAAAGATAAGCAGCTTTAAGAAGAAGACATAGAAGTTTCATATGTCATGTGTAATCTAACCAAATGGTGAAAATTAGAACTCCTTGGCGGGAGGAGAGGCGGGGGATATAGTCTCTAGCTGAGAGGCCCCGGCCCAGCTAAAAATTTGTGTCTTCTCTAATTAGACGAAAAAGGATGAGAATGGCTCCTGGGGCCTAAGGATCAGTTCTGTCATACCAGCTTCAAGACCCTTCACAATAGGACCTATAGAGCCTTATATATCACTGCTTCTCCATACAAACTTATCTACAAAGAGTATCCTCATTTGTGTGTGTGGGGGGGGGGGGGGGGGGGGGGGCACCTGAGTGTGAGTGTGTGTGTGTGTGTGTGTGTGTGTGTGTGTGTGGTTTATTTTTAACTCTCTGGAAAGTCTTCAGCCCCGCTTTTAAAAATCCTCTGCCAGGGCTAGTATCCAAAATCTATAAAGAGCTCGCCACCAAACTCCACACCCAAAAAACAACAACCCAGTGAAGAAATGGCAGAAACATCGCATAGACACTTCTTAAAGAAGATATCCAGATGGCCAACAGGCACATGAAAAGACGCTCAACATCGCCCCTCATCAGGGAAATACAAATCAAAACCACACTCAGATATCAAATTACCAGTCAGAGTGGCCAAATGAACAAATCAGGAGACTA